TTAGACTTTGTTTGTCTGTGTGTGTGTGTGTGTGTGTGTGTGTGTGTGTGTGTGGTACTAGGGACTGAACCTAGGGCCTTGTGCATGCTACTAAGCAAGCACCTTACTACTGAGCTACACATATTCAGCCCAGACTTTGTGTGTGTGTGTGTGGCTGGTACTAGGGACTGAACCTAGGGCCTTGTGCATGCTACTAAGCAAGCACCTTACTACTGAGCTACACATATTCAGCCCAGACTTTGTTTTCTATGCTAAAACATTTTCATTTAAACTGTTCAACATCCCTGAGAACCCACAATTGTTTCCATTTAACAAATGTGAAAACCAAGGTTAAAAGAAGTGGCTTTCTGATGAACTGGGCATCATAATACTTGGGTTCTTGTCTCAGATCTACTTCTCTTTCCATGTGATCTTGGGAAAGTCAACCTGCTGTCCTGGGCTTTTGGTTTCCTTATGTGTAAAATGAAGAGTTGCCAGGTGTGCCTGTATCTCATGCCTGTAATCCCAGCATATAGAAGGCTGAGGCAGGAGGATTGCTATAAGTTCAAGGCCAACCTGGGCTACATAGTGAGTTCAAGGCCAATCTGAACTACATGGTGAGACCCTGTCTCAGGAAACAAAAAATGAAGCGCTGATGTGGCTTGCAAGAGAGGAAGTTAGAGAATGTTGGCCTTACAGGCAAGAGTCCTGGGAGTGATTCTGGCTTCCCCCCTGTGCCCTTGGCAGAGCCCTTCCCCACGTCAAGCCTTAATATCTTCATCTGTAACACAGAGATAATGCCACCTACTCCCAAAGTGGTGGTGAGGACTACCATGGGGTGATGCCCTGCTCAGAGCCTAGGTGCCTGGCATCACTAGAAGAACTGGGGTTATTTCTTTTTTTTAATGGTACTGGGGTTGAATCCAGGGGCTTGTACATGCTAGGCAAATGCTCTACCTATCTCCCCAGCCTTGAATCAGAGCCATTTCTAAACCTCAATTCTTCTGATCCTCCTGAGGATCTTGAGGCCTAACAGAGCTATTCAGCTCTGAACTACACTCAGTCATCAGCAAGAAAAAAAGGCCAGAGCCAAGCGGCCTGTCCCAGCTCCACTCACGCTCGGATCCCTTGGTGTAGAACTGCTTGACAGAGTCATAGAGGCCGATGCGGACAGATGCGAAGCTCATCTGGCGTTGCAGGCCGGCAGCCAGCCCATTGTAGAGGCTGCGAGGGCCCTCGGTGCGCACCATGGTCAGGATGGTGCCCAGCACGCCGCGGTACTGGGCACTGGCTGCAGTGCGCACTGACCCCTGACTTTCTCCTTGGATCTGCAAGCCCAAGACAGAGTGGCTATAGGGACAGGCAGGTTGCTGTCCGTCTCCTGCCACCCCTGCCCTCCAAAACACCCCACAGACCCCCAGTAGTTTAGACAGCATCATGGCCCCTAGGCTCCATCCCCTCACCTGCAGCCGGACTTTAGCAGTGTCCAGAGGAAAGGTGATGAGATCTGCAATGCAGGCGGCTGTGCCAGCCCCCAGGAACTTCACAGTGGCAGTAGGGGGCATATCTGTGGCCTTGAATCCAACCATGATTCTGATTTTCTTCTACCTCTCAGGGGATGGAGAAAAAGTAGAGAAAGGTGTACCACCTTCAATCAGGAAGACGAGACAGAGGAACTCTGCCGGAATCTGTGCCCAAAGGAGAGAAGCCCCGTTAGCAACGGTGCCCCAGGGCCTCCCTGTTCACCTTCCTGGTCCCACGGGACTCACAGACCCGGCCAGGGAAAACAGGATGAGCTCCAGAGGTCCTCAAGTAGGGAGCAGAGGAGTTCATATTTTGTGAAGGACTCTCTCCCAGTTACGGCAGGGAAAAGTGTGGTCCAGGGCAACCCTAGTGCTGTCTCAAAGGCCACCAGGTAGGCCCTTGGTCTGTGGGGCAGACTGTACTGATGGTATTCACATCCCCACTGTGTGGAGCTATCAGAGGGCTGATTAGTGGGGAGAGATTCCTGCCAGACCAAGACCCGACAGACAAAAATCCTCAGGTTTACGTACTGAGTTTCTAGGCAGATGAGATTCCTGTGGGTCTAGAATTACTCAAGGAAAGGGACAAGAGGGGACAAGATGACTAAGTCAATCCTTTCCAGTCCTCACAGCGCTCAGGCTAAAAGACGGCTTCTCAGACAAGAGGGTGAGCAGGTGATCCTGCTCCACTGGGGCTAGAAGGGCATATTCTCTAAGTTCAGAGGGAACAAGCAACTCCACTGCGGGAGAGAGGTAAGGAGGTAGACAAGGTAATGTTTACTTAGGACACTGGCAGTGCTAGGGGCTGAGTAAGCACCCAGTGTGGCTCTTCCTGGCCTATGAGGAGCCAGTTTCCTCCATCATGGGGATCAAAGCCCTTACAAGAGGTAGGGATCGGAGGTAGAGTCCAAGCTGAAACGGGATACAGGAAATCAAAGGCTCCATTCTGTTCTCTGAGTTGGAACAACGCCCTCTTCTACTAAGCCCCAGGAGGAAGTGAGCCCAGCACCCCAGAGGGGCAGGGCGACTTGCTTCTCCTTCCCGAGTTCACCTCTCTGATTTCAGAGGATCAGCTGCCCTGAGCTCAGCGTGATTGGCTGCCCCTGTTGCTGGGGCTCAGGAGGAAAGAGCTGGCCGGTGGAGGGCGGATGTGGTAGGAGTTGCTTGTGAACAGAGACTCTAGGAAACAAATATTGCTCACCCAGGTTCTTCCTTCTGGGCTGGGCAAACAAAAATCAAGCCATTCCCCAGAGCAACAGCTTCAAGGGCTCTCACAGGGCTGGGCCTCACCTGATTCATGTTTGGAGCTTGGCCCATAGAAGGCTCAGTGAGAACGGTGCTCGGATGGCATAACAGGGTAATGAAGGTGCTCCCGGGGACCGCAGCTTCCCTGCCGTCACCCTGTTCTACCAGGAGGTGGACCATACCTTGCCCCACCAACTGCCCAGAATACTCTGTTAGCTCACTTGATCCTCAGAGTAGCCCTGTGAGTCAGACTGTTACTGTGTTAGAAGAACTTGGTATCTGTTCGTAGGTAGTTTCCATTTCATTTCTTTCCAGCTGTTTCTCAGCCCCAGGCGCATGGGGCCTTTGATAAGGAAAGTTCTTTCATGGCAATTCAACAGTTCTGAGGAGGTTCGGGCAACTGGTGTTCCTTCTCTGGGCGCCAGTGATGAGGGTCTATCACATGCTTGACCTTGAGCTGGGTTGTGGGGTGTTGTAAAGGCCAGAGAAGACTATGATCCAGCCACGGCCGAGCTCAAAAACAAGTGGACAAAGGCTGCCATTCTGAATGTTGCCTTGCATTTGCTAAAAAAGCCACCCCTGGAAAGGTATGGCTCTGGGTGCAAAGTCACCTGTACTCACGATTCTATTAAGAAAAGTAAATAGCCAGGTGTGGTGGTGCACGCCTGTAATCCTAGTACTTGGGAGGCTGAGGCAGGAGGATCACCATGACTTCAAGGCTAGCCTGGGCTACACAGTGAGTTTAAAGCCAGCCTGAACTACACAGTGAGACCCTGTCTCATGCAAAACAAAACAAAACAAAACTCGAGCCTAGAAGAGTTAATCATATTAGATAATCTCAGGTTAAAACCAGTTTCAGAGCACCTGATTACTAATTTCTATCTCCTGGTTAGTCAAAAGCTACAGTCTGGACCAGGCATGTAGCTCAATGGTGCCGGCACCTACCTCAAAAGGTCCTGAGTTTGATCCCTGGTACCGACAACAAAAAAAAGCTCATCATCAGTTTGAAATTAGAACAATAGATTCCTGTCTTTGCTCTGTCCCAGGGTGACCTGGGGTCAATCAGTGTCCCAGCTGGGCCTGAAGTTCCTCTTTTTATAAAATGGGGACCACTTTTCTTGGTTCCTTCCAGGAGGCCAAGAGACCAAAGATGATGAAAGTGCTCAGTGAAGTGTTAAGGGGGAGGGGTCATTTTTGTTAGCACCTATACCACAGGGCCAGCAGGAAGCTAGAGATCTCTGGAGCCTGACTCTTACCTGGCTTTGCAAGGTCTCAGGCTGAGGCCTTCAAGATCAAGCTTCTCTAAAGGCGTCTCGTTCTTCAAAGTTGCCAGTGGCTATCATGGCTTGCTCTCCTTGGTTTTCCATAGAAAACGGCTCGGAGACCAAACACCTAAAGTTCATACTATGTGTCCTGTGGGTGAGGGCAAAGGAGGAAAGTTTAGAAAGGGAAATCCATCTTACAAGACCACACCCCAGCAAGGGCTCCCAGCTCACAGCCTACTCAGTCCTTGATTTGATGGGGAGTCAGGGCCCGTTTTACCCTGGGTAGCCAGGGACTACCCACAGGAGAGAGGGATAAACTCAGGAGTCCTCCTTTTCTCCTCTGCCTTCTGTCACACGGGGGCTCCCTTCCAGGCTTGTTTCATGTCAGCTCCCAACCATCAGCAAACTGCTGATAGGGAGCCGGTAGTCATGATGGATCACTCTCTCTTGGAGTTGGCTAGGGCCTAGATCTGGCTATGAGGAGGCTGAAAGGGCTGGAGTGAGCCCAGATTGAAGGCTCCTCTCAGCAGAGGCGCTACAAAGGCATTGGGGGCACGTGGTCTGCAGTCACTTCCAAGGGGTGAGAGGTGAGGGTGTCATTCTGGTCAGCGTGGTCGTGTGGAGACAGACAGGTTTACGTGACAGCCAGCTGTACACCAGAGGGAAAGAACAAAGGGGAGTCGGAAAAAGGGTGATGGCCTGGCGTGGTAGGGCGTGCTTGTAATCCCAGCACGCAGAAGACAGGCAGGAAAATCGCCGCGACTTCGAGGCCAGCCTAAGATACATAGTTCAAAGACAGCCTGAACTACATAGTGAGGCCGTCTTAAAAAAAAAAAAGGCGCGTGGCCGGGGATATAGCGTACTAGAGCCGTGCCTGCCTGGTAAGCATAAGGTCCTGAGTTCAATCGCCGGTCCAAAAAGAAAAAAAAAGGCTAGAGAAGAGAAATAAAGAAAATAACAAGAGGACAAAGAAAAGTACAAACTGGGCTGGGGAGAGAAGAAAATTCAAGGACGGGAAGCGCGCAAGGCAAGGCAGTGCAGCCGGGGCGTGGAACAAGTGCGGCGAGTGCAGGGTTGGGGCCGGGCTCACCGGACCGCAGGAGAACACGAGAGACCAGGCGCTGGCTGTCTGCAGGCGGAGGGTGAGCGAGGGCAACGCTGACGCCGGTCGATTGGAAAAGGTGGCTGTAGGGATCGCAGTGGAGTGCGGGCAGGCGGCAGCGCGATTTTAGCCTGGGGCGGGGCCTGCGTG